CTCTTTTATTCCCCAAATACCAATTGAGTATCTGCACTTTGGAAGGGTCACTGCTAGTACTCGGGATGCTGAGATAGAGACCCAGCTTCTGCCCATAGAACTTGAGAAGCTAGTAGCTGCAATCTTACAAGGAAGATGTTGAAATACCCTCTATGACTTACAGGAAAGTAAAAAGAGTGGGTGAGAAGAGAGGTGTTCCACATGGGAGCAGGAAAGTGTCAATACCTTGAGGCAAGGCAGTTTAAGTTTTGGGAATCTGCAAGTCAGTTCATGGAATGTGATTTTAAATTAAGCTACGGGGGGGCCAGCCTGGTGGCGCAAGCGGTTAAGTGCGCACACTCCGCTGTGGCGGCCCGGGGTTTGCCGGTTCGGATCCCGGGCGCGCACAGATGCACCACTTGTCAGGCCATGCCATGGTAGGCGTTCCATATAAAGTGGAGGAAGATGGGCATGGATGTTAGCCCAGGGCCAGTCTTCCTCAGAAAAAAAAAAAAAAGAGGAGGATTGGCAGATGTTAGCTCAGGGCCGATCTTCCTCACCAAAAAAAAAAAAAAAAAAATTAAGCTACATGGTGGACTAGACGAGGCTGTGGGACTGGTGAGCAGATGCCAGACCCACAGATGATGTGCCTCAGAGTTGAGAAAGACAATATTTGAAAGGAAAACTGCACTGTGGTGTGAAGTCTAAAATTAAGGCCCAATATTATGTGCTGCCTGGACATTTGGTGAAACCAGCAGGGCCTTGAATTGCCTAACTGCAAATTCCCTGCCATACTCTTCACTTGCAGATATAGTCCCCTACCAGACAAGCATCTTTATCAAGGGAACGAGGAACAGATATTGTTTATTCCTAAGTAGTGGGTTTCTGTCCCCTACCAGCCTCTGGAATTATTCAAACAAGCTGATTACATCCTGCCATGGAAGTAGGGGTCATCTCACACTCTTGATACTACAAACCCTGCCTCCCACAGACTCTGGTCCTGAGTGCAACCCCCGGGTTGCATGGTGTGGCATGGACTAGTAAATGGTTATTTATCTCATCTCTACATTGTCCAGTGTTATGTGTTTGGACACCACATAACCATAGTGCAGAAATTCCTCCCTCACGTCCTGAGTCAAACTGGAGGCCAATTATATATGCTCTTATGAATTCCTTTGGGATCATAGAGAATCCAGAAAGAAATCTCCAACCAGGGCAGTGTATCAATTTGTTAGGGCTGCCATAACAAAATAACACAGACTGGGTGGCTTAAACAACTGAAATTCATCAGTTCTGGGGGCTAGAAGTCCAAGATCAAGGACCTGGCAGGGTTGGTATCCTCTGAGGCCTCTCTCCTTGGATTGCAGATGGCCACCCTCTTCACTTGGCTTTCCCTTTGTGTGCATGCATGCCTGCTCTCTCCTTGTGTGTCCTAATCTCTTTTTATAAGGACGTCAGTCAGATTGGATTATGGCCTCCCTAATGGCCTCATTTTAACTTCATCAACTCTTTAAAGACCTTATCTCCAACTACAGTCACAATCTGAGGTACAGGGGGTTATGACTTCAGCATGAATTTTTGGGGGGACACAATTCAGCCCCCAGGCAGGAAAAAAGGGTGTCTTTGCTCTTATCTCAATGCAGGAGAATAGAGTGCACATCTAGGTATCCTATGCACACTATCTCCAAGGAGTTTCTGAAAAGTAAGTGTGAACTCCCTTGAGGTGAGATGCACAGAAGCCACTGTGTTGACACTTTTTGCTTTGAACTGGTAGAGCCGGATTTCACTGCATTAAAAGAGCATTTTAATTAGGTTATCTTGAACGTAATTTGGCAAATTCTAAGAAAGGGCTAGATTGGGGTGTGGAAAAAACAAATGAAAATAGAGGTTGCTTGGATGGAAGGACAGCTGGGAAGGACTGAAAGAGATGGTCCTTGACAAAATTCTAGAAGCTTTGAGTTGCATCCAGGTAGGGAAAAGAAAAAGAATCTCACACCAAAATTAAATAATAAATGTTCCAATAGGGAAAAGCTAATTAACTTTGCTTGCAAAAGCAAATTTTTGGCTGATTCTTTGGTCTGAGAGCATTGCATTTTCTCTGCCATATCCTGGATTAAAAAAAAAAAAATCCTACATAGGAGAATGATATTGTCTAGGCAAAAATCATCATAACTGCCATTCAGTAAATCCCCAATATTTGCCTTGATGGACGCTTCATATTCAGTACATACAATATCATAGTCTTACAACATAGGATTTATCAAGCTCAATTGGGAGATGAAGAACTTGCAATATTCTCATATTCACAGGTGGTAAGTGACAGAGCTAGACTAGACACCTGGTCTGAATTCAACCAGGGCACACACTCTTCCACCACTGCCACCCTGAAGCCGACCTTGTGTATCTTTATTCACTTTTTTTCTCATTGCTCCAAAATAGATCCCAGGCGATTAAAAAAAAAAAGCATTTTGTGCACAGAGTACTGGATTGGAATACATAGCCAGAGCAAGAAGAATACCACAATAAATGAGAGGGATGAATAATGCAAGGAAGGATATAATATCTGGTAACAATTTGATCATCTACCTATGCAGTGTCAGTTAATCTCAAAAGATGGGGGTCTCATAACATTATCTGGCTCAGCCTGTTCCCTATAGAGAGTAGATCTTTCAGAACAGAAGTTATGTGTAAGAGGCTAAGTCTGAACGGTAAAGAGAAGGAATATGTAGATTGGCAAGGTTTTTTTTCTCTGGCAGCCCACCTCTTACCCCAAGCCCTCTGCCTTGTTCCTTAGCTTCCCCATCTCACCTCACTCCTGGGACACAGACTCCTTCTCTGTAAGATCTGCAGTAGGGAGATTGCTCAAGAGTTTGAGGGGGTGTGGCATTTCCCAGGAAGCCCTTCAAAAATGAGACAGGAGCCAAGATGAGGACCCTGATGAATGATGACTGAGAAGAACACCACCCAATCACATAGGGAGTCATGCAGAGATTTCCCCTCACCTACTCTTAGACCTACAGGGTCAGGCTGACTTTGGCAAGGTAGGCTTCAAGGAGGTAAGGGACCGGTTGTAAGGGTGGCAGCACAGGAAAGTGCCCAAGGTCCTAAGAGGAGTGTAATTGCGAATCCTGTGTGAAACTGAGTGGACTCTCCACCCCAGAACAGAGGGGGCGCCAGCGATCTGGCCCCCTACCCTCAGCCTTGTGAGGCGCTGTTCTTGGTGACGCAAAGAGTAGCGCTCACTTCCTGCTTGGGCGTCTCGTGAACGTGAGAGACTTTGCCTCACGCGGGCGGCCTCAGCACCGGAGAGTGAGGAGTCCCACGCTCTAGCGAGAGTCAAGGTGAGGAGCCCGAATGAGGAAGGAGAGAATCACCCTCCCCAGAACCCGGTGCCTCTGCCGAGGCCCTGCCCCTCTTCTCAGTGCTAGGGGGTCCCGGGCAGGGCAGTCAGGCTGAGTGAGATTTCCACCCTGAGGGCCTCAGGAAACGAGGGCCATGATATAAGGGGACAGCCCGGTGCAGCAGAGGGAGGGAAGACCCTAACAAGAGTCAAAGTGGGGAAACTGAGGCAGAAAAGCCCACCGAGGTCCTGCCGGCAGCTCTCAGGGACCCAAGCGTGGCGGGCAGGTGGATGTGAGCCTTCTTTTCCCAGTTGTTGGGTTTGCAAGCTGAGGCCTTGACCTGAGGCGAAGCATACCATGCTCTCAAGGAAATCAAGGGTGGAACTCTGAGTGAGGTCTGAGGGGACCATCAAGCCCAGAACAGTGAGGCGCCGCCGAACTTGCCGCTGCCGTCGAGCTTGGGAAGCCCCGGACAGGGCTGTCCGGCTTACTTCCACAAGGAGGGTCTCAGGGAGGTGAGGGCCTTGGTCTGAGGGGAGGTAGCAGAGGAAAGCAACCCAGGCCAGGCCAGGAGTCGGGGTAAGCACCGTAGGTGAGGACTGAGGGAATCCCGGCCCTGCTGGCAGCCTGGGGTGCCTGTGCTTGTGACGGGATGACTGACGCTCATTTTCTCCTAGGGCGTGACGGAGGGGTGGGGGTGGGGGGAGTGACAGATTTGTTTAAAAGGGACGGTTTACTCTCCACAATAGGAGGATTTCCGGGTCTTCCCAGGAGTTCAGGTGAAGACCCTGATGTCTGAGGGGAACACCCCGAGCCCCCAGCGAGGGTACAAGAGAATCCATCCCCTAATCTCAGCTTTGGAGATAATTGGCAGGTGGGGCAACCCTCATATCCCCCTAACGGGGTATCACAGGAGATGCTGGCGGGAGGAGAGGAGTCCCAGACTATGCTGGGGGTCAAAGGAAAGACTGAGGGGACCACCCACCGTTGATTAGATAAGAAAAAATCTGAGCCCCACCTTTGCATTGAGAAGTTGAAGGCTCAGGGCAGGGCTGTGAGGCCGAGGCTCATTCTCACTTCTTGACATGAAATCTAAGAGAGAAGAGATGTTTGGTGTGAGGGTGCAGCCACCAGTTAGCAGAAGGGAGGTGTACCAGGCACTACCTGGAGACCAGTGAGTACCCTGAATGGGAACTGAGGACCCAACCATCCCATGAAGGAGAGGGCTCCACATAGCTCTCAGTTGGGTGCTCCGTGAGAGGGACAGGGCCTAAGGAACCCCTTTGCTTCCTCCCTCGGGGTCTCAGGGAGGTGCTGGCTATGATTTGAGGTATCAACTCCACAGCAGCACAATAGAGGGAGTCTATGACCTGCCAACAGTTGACATAATGATCCTGATTGTGAACTGACAAGACCCCCCACCCTAGAACAGAGGCTCCCCACTGGCAGCCCCTGCCGTCACCCCAGGACAGGACTGGCAGGCTGCAGTCTAAGGGTCCCTCGAACTTCCTCCACGGGGTTCTCAGGGGACATGCTGATCAGAATAGGAGCTTTATGGGCACCTAGCGCAGTGCTCTCACGGAAACCCGCAGAGGCGGCCTTCTTTAAAGCTAAGGTGGAATTTCCTTGCTGAAGGTGCACACACCATCTCCTTCTCCCCTTCCAGGTGTCTACATCGCCTGGCCTCCTGTCCACACTCCTGCCTGCTGTTCCTGACCAGTGTCATCATGCCTCGGGGTCAGAAGAGTAAGCTCCGGGCCTGTGAGAAACGCCACCAGGCCCGGAGTGAGATTCAGTGTCTCCAGGATGCTCAGGCCACTGCAGCGGCAGAAGAGGAGTCCACTCCTTCCTCCTCTCCTCAGCGTGAAGGTGTTACCCAGAGCCCGCCTGCTGCTGCTGGGTCATCTAGCACTTCCCAGGGGCCTCGAGGAGCACCAACCACCACCACTGCTTCTGTAGGCGTTTCTTGCACTAGATCTGAAGAAGCTTTCAACAACGGAGAAGAGGATACAGCAAGCACCCACGAGGCCCTAGCCTCCACTGAGAGTTCAGGCACCGATTTTTTGAGCGAGAAGGCTGTGTTGCTGGAGCAGTTCCTCCTGTACAAGTATAAAATGAAGCAGCCCACTATGAAGGAAGACATGCTGAAGATTATCAACCCAAACTACGAAGACCGATTTGCTGAGATTCTCAAGATAGCCTCTGAGCACATTGAGGCTATCTTTGCGTTAGAAGTGAAGGAAGTCGACTCAACCAGTCCCTCCTACGGCCTTATCAGCAAACTGAAGCTCCCCAACAATGGGAGGGTGCGAGGTGGCAGGGGCTTGCCCAAGACCGGCCTCCTGATGAATATCCTGGGTATGATCCTGATAAAGGGCAACTGTGCCACTGAAGAGGAGATCTGGAAATTCCTGAGTATGATGCAAGTATATGCGGGGAGGAAGCACTACATCTATGGGGAGCCCAGGAAGCTCATCACCAAAGATTTGGTGAGGCTGAAGTACCTGGAGTACCGGCAGGTGCCCGACACTGATCCTCCACGCTATGAGTTCCTGTGGGGCCCAAAAGCCTATGCTGAAACCAGCAAGATGCAGGTCCTGGAATTCTTGGCGAAAGTCCACGATACCATCCCCAATATCTTCCCATCTTATTATGCAGAATTTTTGCAAGGTGAAGAGAAAGCCAAAGCCATAGATGCAGCCGGGGCTACTGCCAAAGTCTGTGCACCTTCCGGGGACATGGACAGCAATCTCTTCTCAGCCCTATTGAAGTCTGAGGTTTCATATGCTCCAGTCCAGAAACCATAACATCACAATAGGGATTATGTTCTTGGAAATGTGAAAGAATCCCACAGTAAAATTGTTGGGATAATGGAATAGAAAAAAAAATAATGATCAATCTTAGTTTTCCTTATTGCTTTTAGTCTTTAGCTTTGTAAACTTAAATGATACATACTTTGAGTTTCTTAGCTTGTTCAAGAAAGTAGTAGAAATTAAATCTTAATAAATTGAACCTCTTGTTTCCTGGCTCTTTTGTTCACCACGCATTGAGTATCTATTCTTTGGAAAGCTCAGTGCTAGTACTGGATATGCTAAGATAAGGAAAATCCAGCCCCTGCTCATTGAATTTTAGAGCCTGTGAGTTGCCCTCATATAAGTAAGATGTTGAAGATACTTTCCCTCTATGATCTATAAGTAAAGTAAAAAAATGGGTGAGGTAGAGGGTGTTTCCTTTGAGACCCGTCAAGAGAATTTTCCTGATCAAGGCAGTTTTGGACTTGAGAAAACTGCAAGTCCTCAGTGGGATGTAATTTTCATTTACACTGTGTGGTGGGCTAGTTGAGGTCATGGAAGTGGTGTGTAGAGGCCAAACCCTCTGATGATATGCTTCAGAGTGGAGAGGCAAAACCCTGTGTGTTAGTCTGCTTGGGCTGCTGTAACAAAATACCGTAGACTGGGTGGCTTAAACAGCAGACATTTATTTTTTACAGTTATGGAGGGTGGAAAGTTCATAATCAACGTGCTAGCGGATTCAGTTCCTGGTGAGAGCTCTTTTCCTGGCTTGCAGATGGCCACCTTCTCCCTGTGTCCTCACGTGGCAGAGAGAGAGTTTTCGTCTCTCTTGCTCCTCTTATAAGAATACTAATTGCATCATGGGCACCCCATCTTCTGATCTCATCTAAACCTAGTTACCTCTCAAAGACTCCACGTCCAAATACCATCACATTGGGAGTTAAGGCTTCAACATATAAATTTTGGGGAGGACACAAAAATTCAGTCTATGAAGCAAAATTGCTGCTACAGGTTACTTTGGGACTGTGGGTAAACCAGAGAGAAATCTCCACCTGGGGCAGGAAAGGAAGATGTTCTTTGCTCCTGTTCCAGTGCAGATGAACACAGTGTGCAAACTAGGTGTTCTGTGCACATAATCTCCAGGGAGTTTTTGAGAAGTAAGTGTGATACTCCCTTGAAGTGAGATGCCAAGAAGCCCCTGTGCTGGCATTCTTTGCCCTGAGTTGGGGGAGCCAGAGCCTGCTCCATTAAAAGGGCATTTTTACTCAGGTTATCTTGAACGTAATTTGGCAAACTCCAAGCAAAGGCTAGCTTTCATTGAGGTTGTAATGAATGTAAGTATATGTTGTTTGGATGGAAGGGCACCTGGGAAGAATGGAAGGACTTGTACCTTGACACCGATTCTAGGAGCTTGAGGTGTATCCAGCGGGAAAGACAACTCCACACCTGAATTAAATGACAGGTGGTCTAATGGGAAAAATTTACTTAGCTTTACTAGCCATGGAGAATTTTTGGTTGATTCAATGTTTTCTGTCCCAGAATATTGCATATTCTTTAACATTTCCTGGATTAAAAAAAAATTCCAAGGGAGGTTAGTGGTATCATCTGGGATCAAAATAATAATATTAACTGCCATTCTTTAAATATTGGGTAATATTTGTTGGTCGTCTTGCCAGGTAGTTTATATATAGTACAAACATTCCAGCAGTCCTATAAGACAGAGCTTACCACACTCACTTGGAAGATGAAGAACTTGCAATTTCCTCAAACGCACAAGACTGGTTAGTAGCAGAGCTGGGTCATAGACCCCTGGGCTGAATTTGTCCAGAGGCCACACTGTTCCACTCCTCCCAACCTGAGGCAGACCTGTCTCTTAATTCACTCTTAAAGATTTTTAAAGATTTTTGTTTATTTATTTTTTCCCCCCAAAGCCCCAGTAGATAGTTGTACGTCATAGTTGCACATCCTTCTAGTTGCTGTATGTGGGCCGTGGCCTCCGCATGGCCGGAGAAGCGGTGCATCGGTGCACACCCGGGATCCAAACCCGGGCCGCCAGCAGCGGAGCGTGCACACCCAACCGCTAAGCCACGGAGCCGGCCCTTAATTCACTCTTGTTCTCACCATTCCAAAATGTATCTCCAGCAGTAAAAAGGCACTTGTAGCCAAAATACTAAAAGCAGGCCTATTGAAGGAGAAGGTAAATATGAGAATAAGTCAAAATTTGGGGATTGTCTTTATGTTTTGTTTTCCTAGGATCCTACTGAGAGCTAACTCTGCCCAGGAGCTGGTATTTTGCCCAGCTCCAGCTCTTCCCATCATTACAGCGCCCTTCCCCTGGGACTTGCCCAGTGTGCCCTCCTTCCAGCTCTGGAACCTGACCTGCCGACCAGCTCTTCACTGCAGCCTCCTCTGAAGGCTGCACTTTGCTCTCAGTGGAGCAGACAGCCCATATCACCTGCTCTCCCCCTGACTTAGAGCATTCCAACTCCCTGGTGGTCACTTCTTTCACCGTGGATGTATATCATCTTTATATTCCTGTTTATGTGGTAATTTGGAGATCTTCATTTCTCTCTCTCTCTCTTTTCATTGTTTTTCAAATATTTTTCCTTTTAATAGATGGTTGAAATAGCTTCTAAGTTTATGAATCACTTTTTTTACACATTTATTGCTGTGTATCAAGTTTACAGGTAGGAGTTTTTGTATCTTATGAGTCAAATTGGGAAACCTTCTCTCTTATTTTCGATCCAGAACAGGATAACGTGGCATTGGAACAGATGTTACTTTGGAAATTGAAATAACTCAGTAGTAAAATTGTTGGGATCAAGAAATAGAGCAAAATAAAGTAAGAGGTTGTTAATTCCTGTCTTCCTTATCTTTTTCAGTCTGTTGATCAGTAAAATTAAGTGACACATACCTGGATTTGCTTAGCTTACTTAAGAATTTAGGAGAAATTAAATCTTAATAAATTAGATAATATGCTCATTGGCTCATTTATTCCCTTAACATTAATTGGCCCTGTGCTCTTTGGAATGCACTGTGCTGTTGCTGAGGATGCTAGCATTTTTGTGTCTAGGAGCAGTAATCTTATAAGGAAGATGGTAAGATATTATGGTAGACCAAAAGGAAAATTAAAAAGGAAAAGTGAGGGCATTTGGGGGTCCAGATGAATTCAGTGAAAGTGGCAGTTAAGTGTAAATGCTCCAAGGCAAGTCTGTTTGGGAAACTCCAAGTTCTTCAGTGAAACTAATGTTTAAGTTTAGCTATGTCATAGGAAGGTAAGACTGTGGGAGTGGGGAACAAGGGCCAGCTCTTCACATGGTGTGTCTCAAAGTTGAGAGACTTAAGCTTGGAGTGCAAAATGGCTTTTGAATCTTGTATAAACTAGAAAGAAACTTTCAATTGGCAGAGGTAAGGTAGTGTTCTGGGCCCTTTTCCATTGCATTTGAACACAGTGTGCAAAGTAAGTGTTTTACCTAGATCTCATGTCCACACAAAACCTGCACAATTTTTGATAAGTTGTATTTTCATTTCATTTAGTTCAAAATCTTTTTTAAAAATTTATCTTGAGATTTCTTCTTATACTCATGTGTTATTTAGAAGTGTTTTGTTTAATCTCCAAGTTTTGGGGATTTTTCAGTCCATTTCTAGTCCATTATTTTCTGAGACAGAAATTGTATGATTTCTGTTCTTTTAAATTTGTTAAGATGTGTTTTATGGCCCAGAATGCAGTCTGTCTTGGTGAATGCTCCATGTGAGCTTGAGAAGAATGTGAATTCTGCAATTGGATGAAGTAGTCTATAGACGTCAATTATATCCAGTTGATCGATGGTGCTGTTGAGTTCAACTATGTCCTTACTGATTTTCTGCCTGCTGGATCTGTCCATTTATGATAGAGGGGTGTAGAAGTCTCCAACTATAATAGTGGATTCATCTATTTCTCCTTGCAGCTATATCAGCTTTTGCCTCATTCTGATGCTTTGTTGTTAGGTGGATACACATTAAGGATTGTTATATCTTATTAGAGATTTGGCCCCTTTATCATTATGTAATGTCCTTTTTTATCCCTGATAACTTTCCTTGCTCTGAACTCTGCTCTGCCCGAAATTAATATAGTTACTCACACTTTTTTTTTTTTTTTTTTTGGTGAGAGATTAGCCCTGAGCTCACATCTGTTGCCAATCCTCCTCTTTTTGCTGAGGAAGATTGGCTCTGGGCTAACATCCATGCCCATCTTCCTCTACTTTATATAGGGGACACCTGTCGCAACATGGCTTAATAAGCGATGCCTAGGTCCGTGCCTGGTATCCGAACCTGTGAACCCCAGGTCATGGAAGAGGAGTGTGTGAACTTAACCACTATGCCACCAGGCCAGCCCCAACTCCCACTTTCTTTTTTTTAATTTTCTTTTTTTTATTTTTATTTTTTTATTTTTTTGGGGGGGAGGAGATCAGCCCTGTGCTAACATCTGCCAATCCTCCTCTTTTTTTGCTGAGGAAGACTGGCCCTGTGCTAACATCCATGCCCATCTTCCTCCACTTGATGTGGGACGCCGACACAGCATGGCCTGACGAGCAGTGCGTCAGTGCGTGCCCGGGATCCAAATCAGGGAACCCAGGGCTGCTGCAGCAGAGTGCGTGCACTTAACCACTTGTGCCACCGGGCGGGCCCCACTCACTTTCTTTTGATTAATGTTAGCATGGTATACCTTTCTCCATCCCTTTACGTTTAATCTATATGTGTCTTTATATTTAAAGTGGGTTTCTCATAAACAATATAGAGTTGGGATTTGTTTTTTGGTCCACACTAACAATTTCTGTCTTTTAATTGGTGTGTTCATATTGTTGATATTCAAAGTAATTATAGATATTATTGGATTAACATCTACCGTATTTGTTACTGTTTTCCATTTGTTGCCCTTTTTCCTTATTTTTGTGTTAGGCTTTTTTTCTGCCTATTGTGATTTTTACGTTAATTTACTTGATTG